CTAATTCTCTCAATATCATACAGTCCCTAAATTTACAGCTGAAGGCAATCTCGGGAAGAGTACAAGGAAATTTAATTCCAGACTGTCGGTGAAGGAAAGAAGTGCAAATCATGCCATGCACTGTGCACACACACAACTGAACTCAGCAACTTTTTATTATCACTTTCTGTCAGGAAGGTGGATGTGAAGGAATCCAGTGGTAACTGTGGGCTAAAATATGTTGATAGGGAAGTAAAATAAAACTGATTTCAATGTTGATCCTACTTAACCTCTTACACAAGTGTTAAAACACTTTAATGAGTAGTCAGTTAGGCTTCAGCCTTACTCACTTTACTGTGAAGGTTCAAATATTGAAGCATTACTCGGAGTATGTGAAAGGAAAACAATATGTCTTTATAAAAAATAAACTTTAATTAGATAGCATTACTTTCTAGTCCTTCATTTTGTGTTGCACATGAACAAACATAATCCCTTTTAAAATAGCCTCTGAATAAACTCTTCTGAAGCCACATACACCGTGCTCCACAATTCTTTACGTATTTATATATATATTGAGCTACTCCATTCTTTAAGACACATTTTTTCTCCCTCTGCAGACTGATAATCTACACTTCCTAGGAGTAACTACTTGAAATGGATTTCAATGGTCACTAAAACCTAGTACACTATTAGAAGCCCTGTGTCTTTTTCCTTTTTCCACTGGTCTTTGTAATGCGGTTTTTCCCAAAGCTGTTTTATTCTGATGATTAGAAACCTATGCTAAGTTGTCAGTCCACATTTATCTGGAGCAAGTTTATATCAATCTGGTTTTCTAACAGCTTTTGGTTGAAATAGTTCTTACCAGTCTATGATATGTACACGAATAGGAACTGTAATCTCTTTCATCTCTCCCCCTCTCTCCATCTCTCCTCTTTCCCAGCCCCCATATATATGCAAATTTCTTTCAGCTCAAAAACCTAGACTCTTCTTTTTCTTGACTTTTCACATCTATTTCAGATTTTAAATCATTTTTCTTTAACAAAACCACACAATTTTCCTGAGAAAATTTCCTCAGGACCCTATCTGATAGCATAAATGCTCCTGTATATCTGTAGAAATTACTTCTTCTGACACAATGCACATTCTTTGCATAATTTCACAATCAGTCTTTCCATCCTGGTAACCTCTTGTCTTGTTCTGTTTGGATTTAAACTCCTTTGTCCACGTAGCTGATTTACATAAGCAGCACAGTATTCCTATTGTGTATTAAATAGCAAATTACAAAATCAGGTTTCCTTGCCGAAATACATAGGTTGATCTGAAAATAATGCCTCCTGTTTATTACCATGGAAATTACAACAGGGACAAAGAACGCAACAACACTATTCACTGGAGACAATTCTCAGCTAAAAACATAATTTTTCAACACAGCCGCCATCATTAGTTATGCATTTTTGTCAGCAATGAACAAGAGTCTGTGTACTGTGCCCATCGAAATCTGCACCAGCAGAAGTGAGCCACTGTCATCACTGCTGAAGTGCACCATCCGTCACCTCACTGTGCTCACATCCACCATTTGGTCTCCATCAGCATTCAACAAGCATCACTGAATGTCAATGGGTGCCGGTTTTTTTGGAAGAAGGAATTCAATTCCATACCATACCTTTGCATTATAAACACTGTCACATCAGACACTATTCTGTCAGACTGCCCCTCCGCTGCTTTCTGTCTCAAGGCAAGAAAATGTAATGGGATATTAGTGGGAAGATTCAACCTCTACTGCCATACCACCAACATCTGCCCCTGATGGCAAGGCCCAGCTTGATAAAATAGAAGGCATTACTTGTGGAACATCCCTCTCATTTGCTGTTATTAACTATACAAACCAGCTTCTATCAAATAAACACCTTCCACAGACACAGCACTTCCACTAATTTAGATGTTTTGAACAGCTATCCAGGTGTTTCTCTGACATTTGATATAATATTGGCAATGAATGTCACCATAAACTGTGATAATTATTAAATTTCCTGCAGAAGGACATTTCCTATGAAAAATTATGGGAATATTACTCTGCCATAGAATCAAGATAATCAGCTTACCTCTTCCAGCTTGTACCAATGTTGGAGACATCAGCCGCAATTATTTAGAGTACTGCAAAACCTAGTTGAAATGTTATTACACATATTTTTGTCTCTTTCACCTGTATCTGTAGCACTGAAAGCTCCTCTCCTTGAGGAGCAAAGAACTTTACAAGACCAGCTTTTTTGCCCATGGACATAACTGACTTTTAATGCAGCAAGAGTAGATTTTTTTGCTGCTACTCTCCCATAACATATACATCAGTTTTTTTTCTCAAATGATTGTTTTGTGGTCAGAAAGCCTGATAAGAAGAGAAGGTGAGGCTTAATTTTATCTTGACAGAACTGCCAATGCTTAAATTAAGGCCTCCCATAAGAAATCATGCTCAATTAATATGTACATTCTCTCAGCACCAACCTTTGACATCCTTTATAACAGGTTCATATTCAGATGAGCAGTTGTTTATAGCGTGGTTACAAAGCAATAGTTTTTGGTCTCATTGGCATATAAACAAGATGAAAAGAGAAATTCTAGCATGGAGTATGTATAACAATACGTATTCACAGTTTTTTTAGTCTTGGAGTTTATCTGTTTAAAATGCAAGCTTATTCTACAATGTAGGAAGTGAAAATAATTAAGGCTGCTGAACATTTTGGAAGTTCAGCATACCATTCATGTGTAGTCTGCCTCCTGTCATACAAATGACAGTACTGGTATGGTAGAAACAGGCTTTCAGGATGGAGAGGACAAAGGTAAAGGAGGCCATCTTGTCAGCACTGATTGGAGGGACATCATTTTTCTTGGCCATATAATTCAGCTGAGTCAATGCAGCCTCTCCATTTTTATAAGGATTGTGTCCCTGAAGAACCATTTTCATAAGGTAAAAGATAGGTGAGGAAATGAACAAACCAATCAGACTCCAGATTCTTCAGCCTATGAAAGCTCACAGATGAGAAATAGGGATTAAATTTACATTGTGTGATTCATAACAAGGTCACCATGTTCTGCATGACTTGATAAGGGGACTGTATTTTATAGGGAAACTTTGCAGCAAGGTTCATATTGGGAGGACAAAATAAAACAAAAATGCAGTTTTTCCTTTGATTCAGGTAGCTTATGGCCTCTCTCCAGCTCATTCCTTGAAGGGAATAGGCGGAGGATGGAAATAAACACAAGCAACAATTTTTTGTGGACTCACGTAAATTACAGTCAATTAAAACCTAAACCCAAACGAATATCAGAGATATGACTGCAGATCTATAAAACCTAACAATGTTTCTGTAATGATGACTCAAAAGAGAAAAAAAAATCTCAAAGACGTGATTGAAAGAACTGAAATGAAGTACTATTCCATCTTTCTTGTTTTTAGCAAGATAATTTTGGTTCGCTGTTGACTAATACAGAATTATAGGAATAAAATGTGCTATCTCAGTCTCTGCATTATTGGCTTTACATTATCGGTCCTGACAGCTGGCTTTTAAAATGCAGTAAATATTGGGCAATGCTGTTCCGTTAAGACAAGCCACTTCATCAAGCATATTTCCAAATCACACTTTCTTTTCAAAATATGTTTAATTTCTCTGCATGTGGCAAAGGAGCCCATTGCAAAATTGACCTGCAACAGAGTGCCCTCTACTGCATGCATTCAGCAAAGAAACACAAAGCAAGTTCCTTAACAATAAAAGCTTAATGTATTGAGTCCTCCAGATTTGTCACAGGGCACTGACCATTGAACTGAAAAACAGCATGTACATGAACACATATAGCACTCTTCTCTTCTTCAAAGAACTGCATACCTCTATGGAATAATAGTTTAAAGTAGATGTAGAAACTGCACAGGCTGTTTCATTGTTTCAAATGAAATCAGCATGTGTTGTTCCACCAAATATGGTCTGTGTTTATAGGCTGGAGAGTTATTAGAGATGGTAACAATCTGTCCTGCATTGCATCGCTATGGCCTTTTTCTCTTTGCTTCCAGAGGGATCTGTGACCATAAGAGGTGAAAAAAAATCTCTGCTTATAGAGTTGTTCTCTCAGATCTTCTTTTCTCCTTCTATCTATCTGCCATTCGCTCACTACCACTAAACTGAATTCCCTTTTTCATTCTGATGTCCTTGGTAAACCTATCAGGTTTTCCCGAGTTATGCCTCTTGCAAATGATTAAGAAGATATTTCATCAGTGCTGTCTCAAAGACCAGAAACCAACAGCTTCCAAATGTACCATGAAAGCAATTCTATAGCCAGGCATAAATTCTCAAGTAGGCCTATACTTTTGAAGAAGTCTTCCCATTTTTTCTTTCCTCATTCAGTCTGACTTGGGCCAGGCTAATGCTGAGGTTCCTGATGGAACAAATACTTTCAGCTCCCATTACAATAGGAGTGCTCAGTCCTTCATGGATAAGAAAGCTACTTCTAAAACACTGGTATAAACTGGTATACAAAAAAACATTTGAGTAACATTTGAAATGCCCTTATTTGTACAATGAAGCCAATGCTTTGCCAGCAGTATCTGTGAAGCAACAATTTCATTCTTGGCTTAAGTCTTGATGAGCAGCTCTGAAAAGCAATTGAACTGGATCTTTCTGCACAAACAAGAGTGCCCCACAGTAACCCCAGAGAAAGTATTGAATGCCTCAGGATGCCTTAGGACATTTTTCAGTATGTCACTAGGGCAGACTAGAGGCAGATAGTAAACACCAATGTTCTCCAAAACAACACAGTGAGTTACCAACATTTCTTTATACAAAACAGAAACAACACAAGAAGGCATTTCCATAGTACACTGTGCATATACTTGACCTTGCAATATATATTTCAGCCATGAATTGTGTCTGCAGATTTATTCCCACATGTGAAACTTTCCCTTAAGGAAACCCTTGTTGGTAATTTACAACTTCTAAGGATGGTATCTCTGCAATTGCTTTCCCTTTGCTTCATACCTGTAAATCTTGTATCTTGTGCTAAATCCCTGTCGACTTCTGTCCACAAAATCTGTGTATTCCTGTGAACGATGGAAGGGTCCCTTATCAGAGAGGAGCCAGTCGAAGGGGCTTGTGGCATGCTGATCCGAAACAGCAGCAACTGCTAAAACCCAGCAATGAAGACTCAGTGCTATCCACTCCCATAGAGCCATCAGAGAGAACAATTCAGCACCAGCACTGCATCGCCATATCATGCTTCCACTGGGGACTTAGAGCCTTCATTCTCTTAGCTTTCCCTCAACACCTAGACAAAATACACAGTCAATTAGATAAGCACACACTAGGCATCCCTTGGAAGCAGAAACAAGTTTCCTTTCTTTCAGCTTAAAGAGATAGTGGCCTCTACTTTATTACATATTACATTAGCATAAACCCCACAAGGCTAGTTAACATTGGAGTGTTTCAGTACTTCAAACGCTGTGAAACTAATGTCTTCATTAACATCATCAGCAATAATATTTACAGTTGAAGGGAAACCTTCACAAATTGTCATGGGAGGGATTGTTGATGTTTTTTTTTCTTTTTTTCTTTATTTTTCCCTCCCCCATAACACCGATCATTAATGAAAAATATACAACAGAAGAATTACTGCCTTTTAGCATCAGTTCAAAAGCATTCAGCAATGTCTAGGCATTAAGATTTCAGTTCAGCTACTAGAGAGAAAACAGGCGAGATTCAGAAGAGCCAGCCTGCTTTCCTTTTTTCGTCCTTAGAAAAGTCACTTAATGGCTTGCCTTCACTACACAGTTAATAGGATCAAGTTGTCCTGTTCCAACTAGCATAGCTGAACAAAGAGTAAGTATGTTGTTCAGGTGTACCGAAGCTACCCAGAGGGATGAGTTCAATGAGATATACAGGCTTCAGATGCTGCAATTTTAAGAATCCCTAACAGCAGCACTTGACCTGCAGTCCAATTCAATTGAATGGCTCGATCTAGAAATACTATTGATGTTGAGCCTGGAAAATTGTTTGGGTGTCCAATTAAAAATCAATAATCAATCATAGCTCTATTTAAGAATTATTCAGTGAAGACAAGCCAGTTTCTTCCTATACCTCAATCCCATAACTGTGAAATGGAGCAATGATTCTTTATCTTGCTCAGATTTTGTGAAAATATCTATTCAAGAGCATGAACTCCCAGAAATACTGAAGTATATAGAAACAATCCATTTTGATTTTCAGTGTAAGATAAAACAACACAGAATTAAGCAGAATATGCTAATGTGAGGGCTTTCATTTTTCTAGTTGATGAAATGATGTGAATATGTGCTCATGAAAAACATTTTTTAATTCACAGTCAAATAAAACAGCATTCGTTATGACATTTTTACTGTGCCCCCACTATGGTTTTTTTTTCTTGGCAGGAACTTTTTTTGTCTGCATCAGTAATTTAATTTTCAAGTATATCCCAAATAAAGGTTGCTTCCAAAGAACCCTACTGCAAATACACACTCTTTAACACCCATCCATTATACTGAAAATATTGTAGCTGAATAAACATGCTCTTTCCATAATTTCTCACCATTAATATTCTAAAGAGCCTTTGGTATAGATAATGAACATACTGTTGCAGGATGCAAACTGTCTCCAAAAGAGAGGTTCATTTGGACCAATGGGAATTTACAGCCTAAGAAAGTAATAATTATCTGTTATCTCAACCAGAGAAAGTTTGTTGTTTTCTTAGCACAAATGTAAATGTTTGTAAAATGTGATTTTGACCCGATCCTGCAAACATTAAATGCGTAAGTAATCTCACTGAGAAAAGACTATTCATATATTTCACACTGAACATATGTCAGAGCACTGAGTTGTAATTGTGGTAGTTTATGATCATGAAACACAGACTGCATTAATTTTATAAATCCTTTTGAAATGAGATTCTGCAGCAAAGAACTCTCTTAACTGTTATTTGTACTCTCAAGCAATCATTTACATGCAAAGAACCCTGCAGATCTGTGAATGCTGTGTGAAGCTCCCATGTCTTCTCTTCAAGACTGGTGTTTCTTTCTTTCACAGACTGGTGTTTATTTGTGTGAGGTTACACTGCTGTGCAAACTTCATGGCATGCCATGAACAAGAGTGCATAGATCTAAAGCAAAACAGAAAAGCAATGGCTGACTCTCCTGGGCCACAGAAGTCACTGCGATTATTTGATTGCCATTTCCTGATAAGAATTATCTCACAAAATGAATGAAGAAGCCAGGCTTTTTAACATGTACCATCTCCCTCCTACCATCACATGCCTATAATCACGAAAAAATATATTTCACAACAAATCCATCCCCCTCTTTCAACTTCTCAACAAGCTAGAAAGACTCTGGGCATGATTTCTTCACATTATCTACAGTTCTAAAGGGCATAATGAGAATTGTAATTTTTTACACCTAATGTTGTTATCAGATTGAGAGCTAAGACAGTGTTCTGAGTTTTCTAAATTAATTTTTCAATTGAAAAAAAATCATATAATGTTTTAATGTACAAGAGATAAGAGCTTACTCTTTGGGGTCCTTATTAACAATGAAGTGTTTCAGGGCATTATACTGTAATGATGACTAACTAAGCTCCTTTTGAGTTTGAGACTGGAAAATTAATTGCTATGTATAGGTAGCATCTTCTTACATCCAAAGGAATAGTGAAGAGCTATCCTTTGTATTAGCCTTAACACTACACTTCATGCTATGTCATAAATTTACCACCAGCGAAACACCTTTAGAGAAACCTGTGTAGTGACAGAAGAAAATTATCTCCTTGTATAAAAAATAAATGAATTTTTCCAAAAGAGTTTAAATAGGTAGCTGGTCACTGGGGAGAGCAAAACAACGCATGTGCTTCTAACTGATACTTATCCACTTGTGCATATTGCCCAGTCATTGCAGGAACAGCCTGCATATCATGAATTTTCAGAACACCCTTGAGAGAGAAATTTTTACTTCAGTTTAACAAACAGGAAACTGAAGCATGAAAAGACCAAGGTTAAGATTTTGCAAGCTGCCAAAGGGATTTAAATATGTACTCTGTGTTAAAAGACAGATTTGAAAATCTCAGCCTAAGGAATTTTCCTAAAGTTACATTGTGAAAGATCTCTCAAGATTTTAAATACTCAAATTCACTAACAAATTAAAATGCCTGGAAAACAATTTTCAAATATAGGTATGTGGAACATCCAGAGGTTGTATTTAGAACAACCACCACAGAACTCCAGGGAGGAATGATCTGAATTAAATTTGCAGGAGAGCACCTGCTGTCTTCAGGGTGGGCTGTGAGAAATAAAGTGCCTAGTAAGTAACTGAGGTGGTGGATTTTAGAGTAGAAGAGACACTCTGTAAAGAAGATGCTTCAAATAAAACTGGCATATCAACATGCTGCCTTTTTAAAGTGCTAGCTTAGAGGATAATTACCAAGCATAGGTGCACAGACAAATTACTTTCCTCTATCCCCAGTGTTTCACCCAACTACTTCTTGCAAATGCTGATAAGTCTTTATCCTTTCCCCTTCTAAATTTTGAGGTTATATTAAGCTCAAGAAGCATATTTTTTAGAAATCTGTTAGAAATCTGTGGTCCTTACAGACATTAATGCAAAATGGTCTTGACTGGGTAACTTCTGGAAATACTTCTGGGAAAGCTATGCCTTATGTTTCATGAGCATGTAAAGAGTGCTGAAGATTGGTAAACTCCATGCATTAATTCCAGCTGAGAATGTAGTCCTGGCAAGCACAAAACAAACATTGTGACCACTGAGCCAAATGTCACCAAGCTTCACCTGGCAGCAAGACTATAGGACATCTGTAAACTTTTCGTTCTATTTCTTTTATTCTAATTCTTCTAACATTAGAAATGATACAGATTGCATAGGAGTGGGTTGTAAGGCCACTAAACCGCTGCACCTAAAAGTTCAAAATTTAAGTGTTTGCTTTATTTCTGCACTGAGCTCTCTTGCATAAAGACCATGAACTGATAAATCATATATACTAAAATACACACAGTAAGTGCTGTAGACATAGCCTGAGATATCCTTTCTGCTATTACACATGGAACAATGCTAGCACAATCTCTGTCAGCATCAGAGAAAAGTATGCAGCACTGTCTCCATCATTCTCTCTTTTTGCTTCTTAGAGGAATCTCCCCCTGACAGTGTAAAGGCCAAAGACCTTTTGTTTAGAATTAGAACTTAGAATTCTGTGGAAACAGTGAAACAACCCAGTTCTCCCATGGGAGGATGATGTCCTTCTATGCTGGAAGAATTCTGTTGGATAAAAACTTACTTTGTGGTAAAATGTTTAGGTCTGTAATTCTCAGATATGTTCTTTTAAAGTAAACTAATGGGTTTAATGTGAAAAAGATGTTCTCCACAAGTGAAAGTTTAATGTCTCCCAGATTGTGTTTTTGAATGCAAATAATAAATCTAGTTTTCTTTAAATTAAGCAACATAATAATTGATAAATACGTTTCCCTTTAAGAACAATGGCAACAACAACAACTCTGAGTGTCAGAGATTACTCTTATTGCTGTAAGATCATAGGCTTATCAGCTGACGACCCTGCGTTTTCACTTCTTCATCTGAATTGTGGAGATGATCTCGTCCTCAACTTCTGGCATATTAACAGTGTTAAAGGAATGAGATCTGGGGATGTGCTTGTCCTTGAAATTCTCACGCAGTCCAGTGTAAACAGAACAGCCAAGAAGCTGCTGATGTGCCATGGAATAAAAGAGCAGAAAGTGCTGGGATGGATATGGACTACACAGGAGGAAGAAAAAGCAGAGAATGTGCTATGTTCTGCTCTCAGCTATTACATGGATCTTGTTCTTCAAACAGATATATCCAAATCCATAGAATAAACTCTGCCAAGCTAAACTTTCTGAAGGATAGCAAAAGGACACACGAAATAAAGTTCTGTCTTGCTCTCCTAAGCAGCCATTTGACAGTGGTTGACTTTCACAAGTTAACTTTCAACTACCAAAAGGACAGTGCAGTGATTAGAAAGGCAGGATGTACATCTGGCGGAACAAAAAAAAAAAGAATAGAGTTTGGGGAATTAAAGGATGGATGGCACTGTCTGCCACCAGATCTGATACACATGAGGTTCAAGATACAGCTGCTGCCAGGACGCAGAAGTAGAAAGCACCTAGGTAGAATGTATGGTTAACAGATGATTTTCTGTGGGGGGGGATTTGCATCAGCTTGTTTTCTGTTGTTCATGCAGGGCCTAGGAACTGTCATCACATATAGGCTCAAAAGCAGATAT